TGGAGTTTTGTCAGGAGTTCCTTGCTCATCCATGCAGGTCTCCTGCCCGCTTTGCTCGACTTCTTCCTCAGAGGGATGCACCGACCTTGAGCCTGGAGGAAGTGACGCTTGAATATTAACCAGCTTTCTTGGACCCCTCTTCCCTCCAGGGCCCTACCCCATGAGATTCCCCTACGTAGGTCCCTGAAGAGGCCAAAGTTAGCTCTCCTGAAGTCCAGCGTTGCAATCCTACTCATTGCCCTGCTCCCTCCTCGCAGGATCCTGAACTCCACCATCTCATGGTCACTGCAGCCAAGGCTGCCCCCAACCTTCACCTCTCCAACTAGACCTTCTTTGTTTGTTAGTACAAGGTCTAGCATTGCACCTCTCCTCGTTGGCGTCTCCACCACCTGAGTCAAGAAATTATCATCAATGTTTTGCAGGAACCTCTTTGACTGTTTGTGCCTAGCTGTGCAAACACCTACTTGGAACAAGTCCTGGTCTTAAGGGGTGAGCGTCCTATTTCAAATTCTATCTCTGTCTAGAGTGCATCTTTCAGGAGTTACAAATCTCATTTTGATTTTTAAAAATTTCTTTCAAAGAAAATCCTACCTCAGCTGCTGGTATGTTCTTGTAATGTGTAGTAATTGTGCCTGATTTCTGATATGAAGATTTTCAGATTCCGTTTCTAGCCATTGCTTTTGATATGCCTTGCTCTACTAGAGGAAAGTTCTGTTGAAAAAATTCTATCTGCCATATAGGTGTTTTTAGGCTAGGAACAAATCATGTTGCAGCTTGTTTGATAACCTGAAAGTTCAGGCCCCTAATGTGCTTTGCAGTGGAGTGTGTGTTACAGTTCATTAAAGCATTATTGTGGTGCTTCTCTCAACCGTTTCTAGTTTACCAGTGTTTGTTTGGGTGTGAATACCAAACCAGATCACACACATGAGGAGGTACAATAACTTCTTTAACACTGTATTCATTGCTCTGCCCTGTACGCATGAAGGTGGCAGATTGGCCCACCTGGCCACCACGTTGTACTGGGTGGTTCGGTTCAGTTGATTGTTCTCCAGAGGAGTCCTTCAGAATCACTGCTCCTCAAGGTAGCAGCTCATCAGTTTTGTGCCCAAGTGGTGTAACTTTATATTTGCATAATGTGTAATGCATAATTGTATGTTATGACCTAAGAGTATTCACAAACAAGTGGCGAGAGTGAGAGCAGAAGTTTGATATGTTCCTCTGCAGATGTCTGTCTGTCTCCTTGGTGTCTCCTCTATCAGTTCTTTTATAACCCTTATAGAGTATCATTTTGTAATATTTTTCTGTGTTACTGAGATTTTGTGAGCACAGTGTTAAATATTTTATCAAGGGTATATTTTATTGCATCAAAATTATTGCATTGATAATCGAATTTATAATCTCTTTAAAAGTATGAATTAGCTGATCAAGAGCTATTCATTTTCCATAAATTGTATTGTTTTTCTTTGGACCTCTTTAATCAAATCCTAAATCCAAGCAATTCTCTTAACTTGCACAAGATGAACGTTAGGCTGAAAGGCCTTAGATACCTGGACTTCACCAGTCTTTCTACATGATGGCACAGTGTCTGCTTTCGCCTTGTCTTGGGACTACCACACATTCCAAGAATCACTACTTCTACAGAGTTTAGATTTCACCTATATC